ATGCAGTCGCATGCGCTCGGAGCATCCCGAGCGGTCGCATGCGGCCGCAGCCACCCACAGTACTTAAAACCATTAAAACTTATATTAAAGACTACTTTTATTTGAAGAAGGTGTGGTGTGGTCTAAACAAAAGTCAGTTTTTACTTTATTACAAAAAGATTTTATTGTATTTAGATAACAAAAAAAACATACTAAGCGAATGTCGACGGCGTGAAAATCACAATTATTTCAATATATATTACTCAAAATTATTTACGTAAAAAGATAATGTATATTTACACAAAAACTTTCATTACAATTTGATAATAAAATACTAATTAAACACTAGAAAAATCCAAAAATCAACACAATAATATTCATGCGAAAATGGCGTACGAAATGAACGTAGATTATAAATAAATATAAATAAAATAACAGTTTTTTTTTTATTGCACTAGAAGATAGAAAATTTCATATTGATTATATAGTGCCAAACTTTTTCATGGAATAGTAGTCTCTATATATAATATTTTATGGCTTAAAGTGCTGTGGGTGGGTGCGACCTCATGGGACCGCGGACGGAATATGGCCGCGGTCTCATGAGACCGCTACGAGCTTGACAGGTTAATACCGTATCGTTTACAGCCCAATAACCAGAAAACATCTTGCAATACAACGGTGAAGAGTTTCTGAGATATAACGTCAAGCTGCTGTATATCTCTGCAGTTGGATTGGTTTCATACTCTGGTTCAGTACTCGGATAGCCATTATATACTGACATACAGACGGATAGTACTTCGATATATCGTCAGACAACTTGGCACCGCTGGAGGGACTTCAGCACCGCCTGAATTTCGACAGAATCGAAGACTTTCCCATAGTCCACGTACGCAAGACAAAGTGGCAGATTGTACTCTTGTGACTTCTGTACAATTTGCTGCAGGGAATTTGTTTGGGTTATGGTGCTAAAACCTTTTCGGAAACCGGCTTGTTCGGAGCCTGGAAGTCGACGAGTCTGCATGCGAGACGATTCTTAATGACTCTCGAAAACAGCACGTAGACGCGGCTCAGAACGAAAATCGGTCTATAGTTCTTCAAGAGAGCATTGTCGCCTTTTTATGGAGAATAAAACCATCGCACTGCTTCACGCCTCCATAGTAGTGTCACCACTAGAGCTTCTGGAGGACTTTAAGACTGATTTTCCACCCGCTTTCAGAAGCTCCGCTTTAATTTCGTCCTCTAACGAGGCCTTGTCGTTTTTAAGGTGAACCATTCTAATCTGGTTCAGACGTCCGTAATACCATTAGAATCCCGTGTATTGGCGGTGTAAGATCCACTTCCCCATATCTTTCCGTGGGTGTCGTAAGAGGCGATAGAAGGAAGCTGAGGCAGGAGATGGGTAGTAGTATCTTTCTGATAACAGCAAAATTACAATAAAGACTCGTTTACCAAGCGTGGCCACTATGGTAAGTACCAACCATAAGCAACGAAAATGCAAAGTTTACACTAACTGAAAGCTAGCCTAAAGTTAAACCCGTCGCACGTAATTTGGCAAAAAGGAGTAAAGATTATTTATTTCAATTTGAGGATTTGTTTAACAGCCTAGGCGTCCAATTAAGTGACTGATCAAACCATTAGCCCATGATGTATTCACTGGCGATATCGAGTTGCACGAGCAGTTTCTTATACCGTTTAGTGTCACTGACACCAGTTTCAACACAATATCAAATGTTGCTAAGACCAGTTTCACTTTTAGTTCTAATTTGATTTTGTTAAATAATAAAAGAAGAAAATCGTTCCAAACATTACAATCATTTATAATGTATTCTAGCATATTAAAATAATAGAATGTCGATGGTTATAATATTTATTGCTACCGCCAGCAGCATCACTTGATTATATCCAATGATAATTTATTTTTACAACGCAATCGTCAAATGAATTAGATGCGCTATACGAGATACGAGATAGATAGTGGAATAATGAGTGAAATTAATCGAACGAAGCGAATTCGAAGCATACCAGACTTGTCGACAGTCACGGCACGTAAAGCGGTGAAATTATTCGAACAACGACCGTGGCCCTGGCCGTGTCTATGCTAATGATCAACTGCATTTGTCAAAAATATAGGACATTTCCTTCTTAGGACTATCAGAATGCAGAAAAAAAACTTTCGCCCAAATAATTGCATTGTATTCCGAAAATCCGTTGGAATTCATCATGGATTGCACGAGTTTTCGTGACGTGTATAGTGTAGCAGCAACTTTATATGCAATAACAACCTCTGCGTGCTTATTGTTGGTCTCTTAGGCTTTCATTTTGGTATTTGTACTAGTTTATCGATTGAATTAAAGAGTTTAAAAATACAATCTTTAATTTGAAAACGGATGTCCTCAAAATATGGCATTATTTAAATAAGTAAAGTATATTCAAAAAAATGTTGTGCTTTTTTAACAAGCTTGTCGGGTGTAAAACAAGTGCGAAAATTAAAAATTGTGTACAACCGACTTCAATATTAATAAAATGAGAACATCATCAATGTAGTCGCAGTTTATTAAATATGCATTATTAAGGAAAATTCAAAAACTAATGGTCAGCTCTTAATTAAATGGAATAAAAATATGAAATCACATAAAAAGTACCAGCTTTCAAATAAAAAAAGATTTTGTTTTTGTTTTTTTTTTTTCCTTTTTTTTTTTTTTTTTTTTTTTTTTTTTTTTTTTTTTTTTTAAGTTTTTGAGGTGGGGGGGAGAGTTGGGTTTTTTTTTTTGTGGGGGGGGTTTTTGTTTTTTTTTTTTTTTTTTTATAATTTTATTTTATTTTTTTTAATTCTATAATTTTCATTTTAATTAAATAAATACCCTTTAGATGGGGGGGCTGCCCATTAAAATATTTTTTTTTTTTTTTTTTTTCTTTTTTTTTTTTTTTGTTAAATTCATCAAAATCGGTTTACCTACATAAAAGTTCTGAGATAACGCATAAAAATACAGTCGAATTGAAAACCTCCTCCTTTTATGAATTTGGTTGAAAATGTCATCATTTACTAAATAATAAGACTCCTTCTAACTAGGAGTCCGTCTCGGTTAAAATATTTAATAGCAATTGAACATTACTATACTGACGACTATAAAGTACCTATTATTAACACCTACAACACGCGTAAGGTAAGGGAAAAAAACTTGAAGAGCCTGGTGCAAATAACTATGTATTACGAACAGCGCTTGAATAAATACGTTGTACCCAGAATATATAACAAAATAAAATGGTTAAGAGAAACGCCTCCAAATAAAAATAAAAATAAATTAAGCAAAAACTTATTAAAATCCTCTCTGAAAAGGACATTACTAACAGAGAGAAAGACTAGATAATTGTAATATGATTTCATTAAATGATCGAAGAGCGCTTATGGAGATGTGCTTGTTACACAAAATCGTTAACAATAAAATTAGCTCGAATAATCTTTTAGGTAAAATATCATATGTTATTCCTAACCCTAATTCTAGAATAAGAAATTATAGTTTATTCAAAACTAGGTATTGTAGAACAAATGTCGGACTATCAGCTCCAATTAATAGAACCTTAAAAACTTATAATGTAATTTCAAAATTAGTCGATCTTGACATATTCAATGATTCTTATACCACTTTTAAAAATAAAATTAAAAAACATTTTTATAACAAAATTACGATAACCTCATGAGTTATTGTAGAAAAAAAAGCTTTTGTTTTTTTTTCTTTGTTTGATGCATTGCAATAGGTTATTTTGTTATCCTTTCTTCCTTTTTCAATAATAATGTGCGTTACTTATTATTTTAGTTTAACATGTTAAGTTAGCCTAAAGTATGATATGTACTAAACTTCAGATTAATCTACAAAATTTGTAAACATTTTTTCATTGTACAATATCATGTTGGCTTCCTAATAAATAAATAAATAAAGCTATAACACATAACATATTCTTGCATACTTTTGTTAATCGCTTTTTATGTTTGATTTATTTGATTTGTTTACTGCAGTTGTTGTTTATTTTTTAGTTTAATAATTTCTAAATATTATGAAATTGTAGTAGGTAACTTTGATATAACTATCTTATATTTTCTTTTTGATTTTTTGTAATTAGTTGTATTTGTGTAGGTGATGGTGCATAATAATATATAGTTTTAAGAGGGTGTACTCGCCGACAAACTGATTGCAGTTTGGCAAGAGAATAGTAAAAATAATGTACTTACCTTTGTATGAATAAATAAATTCAAAAAAAAAAGGTACTACACTCTTACCTATTTCTGCAGCGAAATAACAGTGGTTACATTGCTGTGTTTCGGTCCGAAGAGTATATAATATAGGGCCAGAATAATTACAGGCTGTGAGATACGTCAACTTAGTCCTCAGAGTTGTTTTTTTTTAGAATAAGGGACAAACGGGCACCTGTGTGCTGGAGGACTGTTCCTCCTGATGATATTCGGGTGGAAATCTGATGGATCACGTGGCCCATGGACATTTACATTTATACCCAATCAGGAATCAAAATACAGATGCGTCGCCATCCCTGAGTACCAGAATTTAACGCCTCATTAATAGCAAAAAGGTTATCCGGTTCCCTACACTCACCATACGAAACATAGCAGCATCAAATTGTTATTTTACGCTGGTATTCCGTGAGAGCGCTGGCCTACAGGTCGAGCCGACCAATTTGTACTACAACCATAATAAAGCTACAGTTTGTATCTATCACGTAATAATTGACAACAACATGGTGACAACGAATCTGTAGCCTTCCTGTCTGAAGTTGGATATCCACATACCATCAGGTAAACTGTAAGTTCGCTCGTCACTTCGATTTTATAAAACATAAAATCGAACAGTGGGCTGTTAATAAGCTCATGATTGTTATGATAGTTGGTGATGACATTAGTATAAAATAGAACAGCCCGTTTAGAACTTAACTTGCTCTCTCTTTCTCTAAGCTAGAATACTGTGGGAAAGAAATTAACATCAATATCAACTATTGTTTTAATTTCAACAATGTGGTAGTAAGTGATACTTTGTATACTTATACCTGTGGTATTCCTTAATGAATTTTAATGAGTTTATTTCAAGTTAATTACGTTCTTACTTTACACCTTATATCATTTTAATAAGAGGAATTTTCGTTCGCATTTTACTACAGTAAAACCGAATGACCTGTTAATTAAATTGCTAGGTACTACATTGGTTAAGTAGGACGAAATACCAATTTTGTTGCCGAAGCATCCTACTTTTAATAGACTATGATTATATATATATATATATATATATATATATATATATATATATATATAAGAATATTCCACGTATTAGTAAGCTGAAGATGCATTGGACTGGCCATATAGCTCAAAGAACCGGAATTCAATGAGGAAGAAAGATATTCGAGTGGCAACCTCGTACCTGTAAGTAAAGTGTAGTACAACCCCTCACTGATGACGTGGTGGATGGTAAGATGTGCAGGACATCTATGGATTAATTTGGCTAAGAACCTTCCTTCAGGAAACTTTTTTACGTGGTAGAGGCAAGCTGCAGCTATATTAGTTGTAGCATGATTGGGTCTCACTGAATACCAGCGTAAAATAGCAGCGTAAAGTAGCAGCGTAATGTTGCTGCGTTACTAACGGTGAGTGCAGAGAACCGGAGACCCGTTTTACTGGAATCGATGCACTCCATCTTAGTCCTCAGGGGTAACAACGTTAATTGAGGATAAATGTGGATGTCTGTGGGCCACAGCAACCACTTACCATCAGGTGGACTGTGTGCCCGTTTGTCGCCCAATGCTATAAAAAAACCTTTCTACGCTCAACAGTATATATATATATATATATATATATATATATATATATATTATATTGAGCCTAATTTTTATGTAAATAAAATATTTACAAGGAATACCTTTAAATCTAGAAGACAGATTGAATTTATTTATACTTTGATCGCAAAAGTGGTAGTAAACACACATACCGGAACTGGAAACTAGAACAGTATAATTTTTTGCATCATTTTCTCTTTACATTTGCTTTCTAAACAAAAGTAAAGTAATATTTATGGATTCTTGTTACCACCAATTCATTATTTATTAATTTTATTATAAAATACATATATTATTTTTAAAAACATAAAACCTAGCCTAAACGCCAAACCTAGGTACTGTCTTGAAGAATGTTTTCTGCTTACGATCCATCGTCCAATTTCGTCCGTCCGGAAAGGTGAGATAAACTTATGTCAGACCGGCTTAAAAAAAGCGGATATTCTGTGTTCGATTTTAAAGATTTTTTTTATTAAACAGAGTTGATCCTATATAAATAACAAGATTAAGATTCAATTCAATCCATAATGAAGGAAAAATAGAGGTAAAGTATTTAGTAAAAGAAATATTTAGATGACTTTTAGGCTTATTATATTCCCTATTCCTGAATCCACTCAAAAGGGACAAAAATTAGAATTTTAATTAAAAGCTTGATATCAAAGAACTAAAAATAACAAAATAATTTCCACATAATATGAAGGTATTCAGTACAGTAAATTCAGTAGTCAGAAGCAGCTTAGTTTCTACTACTGACTTAGTTACTACTATCACTACGTTTTATCCTTTGAGTTTAATACTCAAAGGTTTTATCAAACCGTTCGTTGCTTCTCATGGCCAAGAGGGCCAAGGCAAAGGCAAAAAAGCAAGCAACGAGTTGTTAAGGCTGTTGAAAGTTATACTTTTTATTTATTTAAAGTACTAGTTGGTTTAAAAAATCAACAAACTGAAGTTGGAGTATCACATTTCCAACATTCCGAGTATTTTATATATAAATTGTAGAAGCTTAGTTTCTATACACTACAATACTACACACTACACTACACTATGTTTTATCAAGCCGTTCGTTGCTTCTCAAAGCCTAGAGGGCCAAGGCAAAGGCAAAAAAAGCAAGCAACGAACTGTAACGGCTGTTGAAAGTTATAGTTTTTTTTATTAAAAATACCATTTGGTTTAGAATTAAAGTTGGAGTATCATATTTCCAACATTCCGAACCTTTGCGTTTTTGTTAAATAAATTGCAGGTAATTAATTCTAGAGAGATTAGAAATACGACAGAAAAAACAACTATGTTTTAACTAATTACTATATTTTAACTAAGTAACCTTTCACTTTCGTTTGTGATTCTAGCATAGAAACTGTAGCAGTACATTTTCCCTTCTATTTTCCAGTAACGCTGTGGTGTGGGTAAAACATATGCTCAGTCTGGCCGCAGAGATGCGCGGGCGCACCGCTACCGTCGCGTTAGCGCTCTGCTTTTCTATTTCGAATACGCTCGAACCGTCGCGTGTGGTAGGTCTCGGTATATCCGATCAAATCGTACCAAAACTTTTGACTTGCGCACAGACACTAGGCACAACAAAATGTTTAACAGCGTTCAGTGCATGGCGCGCGCAAAAAGCGATCAAATCCATTGCGGAGCATGACAATATATCTTTAAACGCGGATCTGGAACAATTTCCATGGCAACAATATACTAATGCATCAGAAGATCACCTGTATACGGAACTATGTGATGGGACGGAAGCGTTGCTTCAATATCGTCGACTCGGTCTCAATATTAATTCAGATTACGCTTTGCATTTGGGTAGCCGCGGTAACGGAACGTTGACCGTTGATGTTTTTAAAAGTAAATTTTATTTTTATTTTTATCGTAGTTTAATCATTTTTTTATTATTTCTACTACAGTCAACATAAAATAGTTATGTAGGGATTCTTCTTTTTTTTTCTTGAACTCGTAACATTGACAGCAAGGGGGATTTGCAGTTATTGCCATGCTTGGCTTGGTACCTGGGTTAGCGATCGTAATACCACATCAATTCTGATATTTTACGCCGACAGTTACACTGCAATCTATTGGAAGGTATGAGATCTTTGAAACAGTTCCATAGTCGCTTTTGATGACATCGATGTCACGATGGTGGGTGATAGATTTTCTAATGCTCCGACACCCGGCAACCTTAGGCATAACTTTGGGACTAATTTTGTCCGACCTCTCCACTACGGATTAGAAGTGTGAATATTTAATTTACATTTATTTGTTTAATGTGAGTTATATATTTCATTCGTTACAGCTCATCAAAAGTATAATTAATTTTTATCTATTTTTTGCGATGTACCATTTATATCTTATGTATTTTATTTCCATGTATTACAATTGTTTTTGTTATTTTATTTTAGTATTCGCATATTAACTTTTTATTACACCTACTTCATTCTATCTCTGCATCATCCCAAGGTAGACTGGGAGAGAATGCCTTTGGCATTAAGTCCGCCTATATACCACATGTGTACATGAAGTTTTAAATAAATAAATAATAAAAAGTCCATAAAATATAAAAAGTCCATTGCTGAACGATGGACTTCCTTTTACATATTACCTCATTAAGGGGATGATTAACTTAGTGGTCCCTCACGGCATTTGTACAGCATTCTTTATTATTTTGAGTTGTTATGAGTTCAGAAATCCTGCTTCTCATCTTTTGCTTCAGTTTTTCTCTGTCGTCTCTTGTGAGTCATCGCCATCCCACGAGATGATATGGGATGGTGAATTCTCTTACAGCACCATACAGGGTGAAATGGGAGTGACTTAGTAATTATTATTAATTACTAGGATTATTTACTCGATAGGGATATTACGTCAGTCCACCCCTGTCTCAATTTTCCAAATTAACAATCAGCATTTTCACAAGTACCAAGTCCGATTTCTAAATAATTTAAGACACAAACAACTCCTATATTTAACCGGTGGCAATATGATGATTGTTGTGACATAATTAATAGATTTAATTTCATCTTCAAATTTTTTTGGAATGAAGCGTGAGGGTGTTTTTAAATGGGTAAGAGATGTAATTTGGAAATATTCATGAAATAATATTTATATTTAATATGTTTTTAAAGATACTCTCAAGTTCCATTGCAAAAAAAAATATTAAGACTGTAGTGCTTATTTTTTGCCTATAAACCGGTCTGAGTGGACATCAGCCTCTTACCTTTTCCTTTAGTCGAACAGCAGTGCACCCACTACTATGTTCCGGTTTAAACGATGAGAAAGTCAGTAATAACAGGTTTTTCGTCTTAATCACACTGCGGCGTTTCATGCAGGTTGATGGGCCGGCTCGGCCAGGGAAAGAACATGCAGAATATGTGAAACAGCAGAGTACAAAAGCAACGTAAGTTATGTATTCGTAAACTAGGTGACTGGAACCGGAAACACTTTTTACTGGTTACTTAATGACGTGAGACATTCTTTATTAAACCTCAGAGGTGATAACGCATCTTTGTTTTGATTCTTAACTAATAGTAGGTGTAGGTGTGTTTGAGCTACCGCCTACAGCATCCGCTTACTATGTTGTATCTGTTATGTGTATAACTTCTTTAAAACGAAATGGCGAGGGCTATACTCGGAGTTTCTCTGCGTGATAGACTCAGAAATGAGGATATCCGCAGTAAAACCAGAGTGACCGACATAGCCCAACGGATTAGTAAGCTGAAGTGGCAATGGGCCGGCCATATAGCTCGAAAAACCGATAACCGATGGGGAAGAAAGGTTCTCGAGTGGCAGCCTCGTACCAGTAGGCGTAGTGTAGGGCGACCCCCACTAGATGGAGTGACGACCTGGTAAGATATGCAGGAAGTCGATGGATGCAGGTGGCTCAGGACCGTGCTTTGTGGCATTACTTGGGGGAAGCCTATGTTCAGCAGTGGACTTGTGAAGGGCTGTAATGATGATTGATTTTTATATATATATATATATATATATATGAAATTTTAACATTGACGAAAAAATGCTAACCTCTTCACAAAACAACATAATGATCGTTGTAACAAGAAGGTACCCGTGGAAGTTATCTGTACCCCAGACAGCTACAACTTGTTTTGCTAGAAATAGTTATAGCATATGCGTTCGACTATTTAATTTACTTCCGAACCATATTCAAAACTCGACATTTAAGCTTTTTAAAAAAAATATTTTCGGGTTTCTGATTGAAAATTGTTTTTATTACATAAATTAATTTATCAAATTCTGCCGTGACGGTCACCTCAAGCGAATCATTGTTGATGTATGAAATTTTAAATTGACAAATGATTTACAGTTTGTAAGATTGACATTATACTAGTTTGACATTATGCATTATGACCATCTGACCATGCCTGTATATTTTTTTCTTTTACTGTTTTATTCGAATTAATATGAAATAATATTGTAATTTTGAATTTTTCTAATTTTAATAATTCATTTGCACGTTAACGTAACATTTGCATACCGATAAAGCGGTAAAACATCCATGTACACACTATTTTATAGGACCTAAAAATGAACCATGTTTTATCCAAATAAATATTTATTATTATTATTAAGAAGCATTTCAAATTAGTCCTCAGAGATAACAATGCATCTGTTTCAGGCTGGTTTGCTTGAAGCTGATTGTATATATTTATACGTTTTTTATAGGATAAGGTTTACAAACGAGCACACAGTCCGCCAGATGGTAAGTGGTTGCTGTGACCCATAGACGTCTACATCTGTCCCTGATTACGATTCAAAATACAGATGCGTTGTCATCTTTTAGTCCCATGAGGATTAAGTTGGAATGCCTCGTGTCCAGTAAAAAGGGTCTCCGGTTCTCTACACTTACCATACGAAACACAGCAGCGTTTTACGCTGGTATACTTTGAGAGCGTGGTCCTTCCCCGATCGATCCGACCCATTCGTGCTACAACCGTACTAGTTGCAGCATGGCGCTCCCACGTAACGTGGTAGAGCTATGTTGCGGGTAGTATTAAAATTCTTCAGCAATGAACCGTGACTTGTGGGTGAGAAAGTAAATAAATTATAATATTATGCTAATCAAACGAAAGTTGCATAGTAAAACCTGAATTAAATATGTATAACTATTTCATTCCTATGGTATCCACAAACTGTTTGTTCCATATTTTTAAACAGTATAACAGGTTTATTGGTAAGTATATACTATATATTATGTGTAATGTGCATAGCGTGTAGGCAATATATTAAATTAATGATCTGATTGTGGGGAACCATGACGATTCCGCGCGTAGTAGACCAAAGCATCAACTTTCTAATACAATTACAGCCGACTCTCGTTAATGCGAAACTCGAGGGACTCTTAAAATATTACCAATAATCGAGTGTTCGAAAAATAGTTCGAAATTTTTGAGAGGAAATAAATAAAACTTCGAATTATCAAGTGTTGATCAATTATTATTTATTAACTGCTATTCTTCAACAATGACAAAACTTTAGAGGTACATTCGTGCATAAATCTTTGCATTCGTGTACATATTCATAGTGTGAATTAATTAATCTTTCGAAAGAATTCTGCTATACTGGTTTCCTTCAAAGTACATTGCTGCTGCTCAGACTGCTCAATATATAGTAAGTCAGCTCAAATTCTAATTTCGCCCCCACTTCCCCGCGCGTCGTATGCTATGTACCGACATGTTTGTAATCACTAATACTGTAAGTAGATAGGGCGTTAGATACTTATTTCATTAGGTTTATCATATTTATGCCTGTTTCATAACGCCAAGCCAATCGCTTCTTATTTTTATTACGGTTATTTCCCATTTTAATTTTACGTCGTCCTGTTGCGTAATGTGTATTCTGATCGATTCAAAGGCCGAAGCAAAACTGACCGGACGGCAGGAATCACGCTTCAAGAGGCCGATAGTTTAGGTAATTTCTTTTTACAGTGAAAATAATGGTATTTTAAAAAAAGTAAATAACATAAGCACTGCTTTATAGTTAGTTCAGTTAGTATGCAAAGTTTCATGATCTTTTTTAAAGTATTTTATGAATAACGGTGGTTTATTGTTTATTTTGGAGGTAAATTTGGATTTTTTTCTATCGAGAAAATTTTACGGAATCGTGTTTTCATCTAACATAATCCTTAACATTAATCCTCAACTGCAATATTTTCGGCATAACGGAGGATCTTGCTAAGCCATTTGAGGTTATATTTCCCCTTAATAGGGAAAAGTGCCTTTTTTTGTAGAAAGAAGCTTTGCAAGGTATCGAATGAGGCTCTTGTTACTTAACTGACACCTCTGCCAAAGGTTCTGATGTATCGTCGAAACGATGATACAAGTTTGAACTTGTCTCAAAATGTACTTACAAATTGCAATCTTTCTGTCTCTTTCTCTCCTGTAACTTTGATTTGTCGAGTGTTTGACGCCAATGAGTTCGAATTAACAGGTCGTTTTGTTACATAGCAATGATTTTTTTCGTTCTAATTACCAAGTGCATAAATATGTATTGATTTAGATCGAAATATAAAGAAATTTTGTAGGAAACTCGTGATAGCTTTAAATTATAGAGAAGTCTGAATTATCGCATGTTCGAATTAACGAGAGTCGACTGTATAGGTTATTTACTACTACGCACTTGTAAAATAATGACTTTGTTTTCACTACTCTGAAGTTGCATCCGTTTGAAGTGCGTTTTATCAAATGCAAATTCATCATAATATTGACATTTCTCGGTAACAAAGCCCGGTTTGAATATAGTATTTGTGATTTCGCATAAAATATTAGTCCCACTGCAATTTAAACGTGTGGATTACAATTATTATATTTATAGGAAAATATATGGTAGACAAAACAATTATATGTTTGGGTAATAAAGGTTGATTTTTCTTAATAAAGTCTTAAAGCAAAGACAATATTTTTGAAATGGGAACTTCTTTAGGTACGAGGGGCATTTTTTGGATGTGGAAAAAGTACAGAACTCACGTGACGGTTATGCTCAGATGCATATATATATATATACATATTTATATCCCCCCAGAGGGGTTGGCAGAGACTACAGACTTCCATTTAGCACGATCCTGACATACCTCCCTCGCCTCTTCCACATCCATATACCTACGCATACACGCTCGTCGATTAAGGGTACTCTTAATTTGGCCCATTTTTAGTATATCGCCAATTTGGTCGACAAACTTCCGCCTAGGACGTCCCTTTACGACTCTTCCATTCACTTCTGCAACATATATTTGCTTTGTCAGTCTTTCCGCATTCATTCTTTCTACATGACCAAACCACCGAAGCATTTCTTTCTTAATCCTGGTCACTGCATCATCTTGCAAACCACACTCTTCTTTTATCACACAGTTTCTCACCCTGTCACTCAGATTCAGCCCTAACATACTCCTTAGCGACCGCATTTCTACTGCATTTATTCTACTCTCATGCTTCTTCTGCCACACCCAACTTTCACTACCATATGTTAAAGTAGGGACTAATACAGCATTGTGAATTGCCATACGTGCCTTTTTTTGACACATTCTGACTTTTCACAATAGAGTGTAGAGCCCCATTTACTTTATTTCCTGCATTCACTCGTCGTTCAATATCCTTATCATATCTTCCATCCCTGCTGAATACACATCCCAAATATACGAACTCATCCACTTGCTCAATTAACTCTCCTTCTATTCTTATTTCACTTTCGCCTTACTTGCGTTCACTTTCATTCCTCTTTCTTTTATGACCTATTCATTAATGTAACCATCATTTGCAACTCGGCCGCCGACGACGCAAGTATGGCTTGATTATCGGCGTACAAAAGGCGTTTGATGGTTAACTCACCCATAGCTTTGGTCGCTAGTAAATCTAGCCATGCTCTCTTCTTTACTTCAACTTCCATACGTACTTCATCATCCCACCATAACGTATTGTCTTTCCTTTCATCCGTTCTCTTACTAACACCACATACTTCGGTAGCTGTACCCACTAAACCTTTCTTAACATTATGCCACACATTCTCCAAGTCTAACTCATTCACACACAACTCATCCAAATCACTTATATTTTCTCTCAGTCTTACACTTATACATACATTTGTACTTGTCTTTCACATCTTCATCTTGTAACCTCTCAATTCTTATACGCTGTAACGCAGTGGTAGACACAGATGTCCGGCCCCCGTTCCTATTCGGCATAAGATCAGGTAGTGGTCCGTCCCTACATCGGACCTCCACTGCGCTCCTCATTCTTTCATCCACAGTTATGAAATCTATCATGCTTCCATCATCGCCTCTTTCCCAAGTATACATGTGAATCTTCTTATGAAGAAAGAAAGTGTTCGTTACAAAAAGATTCCTTTCCACACATACGGTGAGGAGCCTATCACCATTCTCATTAATAATTTCATCACCAAACGTTCCCAGTATCCTTTCATAGCCAAGCCTCCTCACCCCAACCCTTCCATTAAAATCTCCTAACATAACAATATTTTCATTTTCCTTACATTTCTCAAAACTGCTCTCGGATATAAGTGGGATTAGACATGTCTGGGGCGTAGACCCCTAGAACAATCAACTTCTTTAGGCCCACTTTTATTCGTATCCATAGCAGTCTCGGGCTTACACATTCATACTCTTTCACACATTGACCCATTCTTTCTGAAAGGATGATACCGACCGCTCGGTCTCGTCTACACCGGACCAGTACGCGGTATATATGCCATGTGTAGTGACATCCTTTCCCTTCCGCTTCGTCTCATTTACACATAATACATCTATTCCTCTATCATACATCATATCGCATACTTCATCCATCTTATCATTCATTGCTCCACATACATTCAGCGTAGCTAGACGGGCCTCCGCAACCTCTTTTCGCCCCTCCTGGAGACAGAACGTGACGGGTGGCGAACCTCGTCGACGGTTTTCCTCCCGGAGATTCTTCACACCCCTGCCCCATTAAAGGGGCGCCGGGAACTCGGGGCCATTTCTTTTCTTTTTGCCTCATGGTGCGAAGACAAGGGGGTGATATATTGGTGCACACGGCGAGTAGCCGAGTCTGTTCTTTCGGCTTTGTCGCTCTTTTAACACCACCCGGGGGGAAACGTGTAGGGTGGGCCTAGGATTAGGTGGTCGAAGCCTACGGACGCGAGCGACTTATCCCCTCTCCTTATATATATATATATGTTTGTGAAGTTGAGAAGTTTTCACTTCTGACGTGCAGTCCTACGATTGATAGCTTTTTTTTTTTGAATAGTGTTAAATAGAAACATACGATATCGTTAACTTTTTGGCCATTTTTATTTTACAGGTTAGCCTTGATAATACTATATTTGATTAAAGATGTTAAAAATTTATTATCCACTTCAGTAAATGAAATAAAAATGACGTATCCTACCCAATTTGAAGATTCAGCTATTCAAACTATGTAAGACACATCATTTTATTTAATAATTTTTTTACACATTTAATACAATGGATTTCTGCAAAGTAATACAGATTTTATTAACGACTATATTTTATATAAAATGTTAGAAATCCTACTAGAGACATGCTACACTGAACTAACACTATCCACACGAGGCATTATTAAACATGGTAGTACATCCAGCAATAAACACTAGATGGGGATAGCTCCGATATTTAGAATAACAAGCCCATTTTCCTGGCTAAGATAAAAAAGTACTGAGATACTGGATGGTTTGCTTGATAAAATTCTGGCGAAGCACCTGAACTTCAAGATATATATATTTGGTTTATTAACCCAGAACCCTATTTTATAACTTAAGCAGACTGTAAACTGTACAGTATTATATTAATAGGAAAACTCCCAGTTTACGCCTGTTTTCTAGATTTATCGAAACATCAGACCTTGTAAATTACAACTTGTTGTGAATAAAACTACGGTTCCCGCTGTGGTTATTGCTATATTTAAGTTCTAATATAATAATCAGAATAATAAAGCTAAATGTGCAGGGTATTACTCCGAGGTGGCTATAGGCGTGTGGGTGGCGAGGTGGATAAGGGCTCCAATGTGGAATGAGGTAGTAGTGATTACGCTCTACTCAGATATTAAGCTTTCAAGTTGTGTTTGACGTATGTTATTTAGTGTGTTAAAATCTATAAGTACATAGACATAATTAGTTTTATTTACTGCTTAAATACCACTCAAATTACGCCAAATAATTTTACGGCTTTACACTTTGTTGTTATTGCGAGACTAGGACCAAAGAGTCCAATATAATCTCTGTAATTACAAGGACTTTGTGTTACATCTTTCATACGTTTATACGTTTTATATGTGGTAGAGCCACGTTGCAGCTATATTATGGTTGTAGCACGAATGTGTCGGCTCGACCGGGGAAAGGACCACGCTCTCAAAAATACCTGCGTAAAATAGCAGCTTAATACTGCTGTGTTTCGTATGGAGAGTGTAGAGATCCGGAGACCCTTTTTTATTGGAAACGGGGCATTCCATCTTAGTCCTCAGGGGTGAGACGCATCTGCATTTTGATTCTTAATCGATAAATGTAGATGTCTATGGGCCACAGCATCCACATGCCATCAGGTGGACTGTGTACTCAGTTGTCACCCTTACTCTAAAAAAATCTACATACATATACAGACAATAATGAATTATTATAATAATGAAATACTCAGAAACTATATCACTCATTCGTTCCTTCATAGGAAACAAAAATTCTATAAGTATAAAGTTTGTAATCAAAGAAATTATGTTACACGGTCTACTGTTTTTAGAATTATTTTAAAAAATCTCAAATTTCGTATTTCAATTGCAGGTGACGACATGAACACCGGCCGTGGCTATATGAAGAAATTGCACAAGAAATTCTACAACATTGTCCCCTTCTTATTACTTCCTGGACTTATCATGTCTGCGATCCTGCCATTCGTCTTGCCTGCTTTAAAAATGATGACAGTAGCTGTAGGAATATTAAACAACATGGCGTTATCAGGCGCAGTGTTTACTTTGTTAAGAAATAACGCATTTAACGAAGCAAATCGGCATAGAATTATTTATGCCAACGTAGGATACCACAATGAGAAGGATTATGCTGCATCGAATGATCCACATCACTATTCGGAGCAAAATGGCAAAATAATCGGTGAATTTTCTCCACACGATGAAGAAAACATTTTCATTAATGGTAACACTGAAATAGAGGAAGATATCCCGTTAAATGCAGATTTACCTTGGTTGCAAAATGGAGATATATCAAGTCACGTGTATCATCCAGATACTAATTATTTTGATAGAAGAAGCAGTAGTAGAAATAAGAATTTAAATAAAGTTTTGTAGGTTTTTTAGTTTATTTATGTAAATGTTTAAAAATAAGAAGATCATTAATGTAAGTTATTTGTGATTATTAATATACCAAAAGATGTATTAGGAGTTAGATGATCGAATTCAAAAATTAAAATCCTTTCGCTTGCCATTAGTGGTAAATATATGTAATTGTACCATATATATATTAATAAAACTCTAAGAGAGCTGTATTTATGTGCATTAACTAAGAGATTTCAACCAATGTACTGACTCATCACGATATCTCTGGAACCATAAGGCCTTGTGGCTTGAAATTTGGTAGAAATATTCCTTTCGCCGAGTAGAGGTCATCTAAGAACGGATTTTACGAAATTGCACTCCCAATGGGGTTGTGGTGGCGTTAATAAAAAAAACACATTTTCAAACCATAGCTCTTACAGCTGTAACTACTTGGCCAGAATATTCTTTTTGGCGTGTTAAATATTACCAAGAACGGTTTTTATGAAATTTCGCTCACAAAGGGCAGTGCGGGGGCGTTAAAATGAAAGTAGAAGTAGAAGAAATATTAATTATTCCATTCCTGTCCGTTAGTCTCGCAAAAACACGAATATGGCTTGACCGATTTTGGTGATCTTTTTTGTGTGTATTTGAATGGGTTTTGAAATCCCTGGATGATTTAAAAACTCAGCCATGCTCGATATCGCTAGATCGCTAGGTAGTATTATACAGGTACTATCGATACAAGTGCCAAAACATTAGTTTTAGGTAATATTGTCTGTCTGCCTGTGAATCTGAGAACATATTTGGAAGAGAGTTTCACTATAATGTTAGGTAGGTGTAGAACCATTATAATAAAAACAAAAAATACCTGTGGCACTCGGGGACTGCCGCGGTAAAGCTATTGCATAGCATTTTTATCAACTTATGCAATTATAATTATTTATTTATTTTATTTATGCAGTATTTTTTTCTTTGGTATCAATTCAAGATTTTTCTTTGATAATTCAAGTTACACTTTTTTTGAGCGTGGTGACCGATAAGAAAACATTTTTTTTTCTTTTATTGAATAAATGTGAAGTTAATAACAATACATGTTGGTTATTCAGGAATTTTTATCATTGAAACTATAGATTTATGGTAATTAACAAGTTCTTCCGACAAACGATAATTTTCTATAAAGTCTGTGTTTGTTAAATACTCTAAATTCACGAAAGTTACTAGCATGACGGCGACTCATATAAATCCAAAGAATATGCTTCTTGCAATAAACTATATTATTGTTTACAATATTTTTATTATCTTACAATACATGCAACTAGTCTACACACATAATAATAATAATAATGTCCTCCAGATCGAATTTCGGTGACGGCGGCCAGCCTCAACGAAGACTAGCCGTCGGCGCAGGACAGAATTACAGTGTCCAAGTGTATGCGCAAGCACAGGTGCACTCTCTATTCCTTCACTCTCATAATCCCATGGGACAGTAAACCGACACGATCGGAAAGAGATCAGGCGCAGGACCAACGGCTTTACGTGCTTTCCGAGGCACGGGGGTGAGACACCACCAACTTCCTGACTCCGGGGAGCTACTGAGAATTTCTTGCGAATAAACTCAATAATTGATTTTTGGCCTGACCCGGGATTCGAACCCAGGACCTTATGATCAGCAGTCGCACTATTACAACCACTAGACTAACGAGGCAGTCGAGACACGCATACGTCTAGTAGCACGCACATAAACACCGTGCCGAAGTCTGCCGAACTGAAACGACGTTAGACGATGTTAGGTTTTGGGGTGTTAGGTTTATTTTCGTTACGGAATTTCTGCCGTGCTCAAAGCTCGCGTTAAAAGCTGTGCATTATTCCGCTGTCGAATATTGGAGCCGGGCAGTAGGATAAATTGTCTGGATACATAGGTACTATAAAAAATTATGTGGGGCTTTCAAAACAATGTCAGGTACTGAGGAGCTCTGACGGGTGGCGTTATTTCTTTTTTTATGTGAGAACTTCGTGATGTAGAATGTCGATGTTTTATGTTCTACGTTTTTTTAAATAGTTCATGTTTGTATCATCATCAATAAACAATTGAAAAATAAAGTAACAGTCTCTAAATGCTCCTCTACTCTCCCGATCCAAAATATCTGTTCCTTATAATCAAAAATGTCAAAAGAATTATTGTTCTTTCCTCATAGTTAAAATTTGCATTATGTTAACTAAATATTTTATAAATTTAAGCATAACAATTACTCTAATTTATAAAAAATAGACTAAATTGGAATGCCTCTTTAGTTCTTTACTAGTAAAACAGACCTATTTACATACAATTGACATAGCTCGAAGAACCGACAATCGATGGCGAAAAAAGGTTTTCGAATGGCAGCCTCGTACCGGTAGGTGAATGACCTGGTAAGACACGTAGGAAGTCGATGGATGCAGGTGGCTCAGGACCGTGCTTTGTGTCGTTCCTTGGTGGAGGCCTATGTTCAGCAGTGGTATTGTGAAGGGCTGTAATGATGATGATGATGACATACAATCTTCTACCTGATATCTTAAAACGTTGATGTTCAATCATGAATGATACAGCTGCTATAGAAAACAATCGTGAAGGTTTTCTGTGAGAGAGTGGTCGTACCCCGGTCGTTTTGACTCATTCATACTGCACCTATGTACAATTAGCGTGGCTGCGACGTGGTTCTGCCACCAAAACCAAGCCAAATAATAAGAAAATATTTCATTATAGAATACTATAAATGTAATCTATTTACATGAAATTGAGTAGAGTCGTTATCTGAAACAGTTACAGAAACTCAATTGTTGATAATATGAATAGTTTTCGTGTTTTACAGATGAGCAGATAATAATTGCTTAAACGTTACATTTACCTACCTTTAAACAGCAAAAACTATTTGGAAGCCGTAAATTAGAAAATAATTAACATAATATATTTATTAAAAATATATTACATATCTTACTAGCGATCCGCCCCCGCTGCGCACGGGTGATTTCTGGATCTCGACAATAGCGCCACCTACCGGGTCCAATTATGAATCCAAACTATCCTGCGACTCACTCAGACACAGAAAAATTCATCAAAATTTCAGTTGAGACATTTTCGAGTTTTAAGTCTAACAGACAGCAAATGAATTTTTGGATATAGAGATATACCATCGTGAGTTTACACTGACGCGATTTTCACAAAAAACATGTTTTAAACACTGTTTTCTGTCAATGTATCAAGAAGCGTTTGCATAGGCAAAGAACATGTTGTAGTGAAATATGTTTGACAGTTTATTGTACATTACATATTTAAACTATATTAAATTTTTATAAATACATAAACAAAATGGTTGAAAACAAATTTGTAGAAATATTGTCACGTTGAAAGATAAGTTTTAATATCTGTTGAAAATTTTACACAGTTTTTGTAAGTGCGAATGCTACCATCAACAAAACATGTTGTGTGATTTATTTTATGCGATTTGTTTCAAAACATTACGTGTTGGATGTTTCTCAGTGCAAACGTACTGTAATAGTTATTTACAGATCACGGTCTTATGTAATATAGCAGGACATATTAGTAGAATTACGTACAATGTAGATCGTTAGCATAGTTTCAAATCATTTATTTTGTTTAATTTATTAGTAAGTAACTGATAACCGAAGGCTAAATATATACTTTTTACTTTTTATGACAGATGGCGCTGTTTCGGAAACGTACATTGTAGATCGTTAGTATTGTTTCAAATTATTTACGTTGTTTAATTTATTAGTAAGTAACTGATAACCGAAGGCTAAATATATACTTTTTACTTTTTATGACAGATGGCGCTGTTTCGGAAACGTACAATGTAGATCGTTAGCATAGTTTCAAATTATTACATAACAGTTAAAACAAATTTTAAAGTTTTATTATAAATATTGTATTCGTTTAAAAAATACTACGTTAACGTGCTTATAACTAACAGAATCGTACATAATAGAAAATTAACTTCTAAAGAAAGGAAAGTATTTAACCCTCCTTTTTTAAGTTCCGTAATCGGATAAAAAGTAGCCTATAAGTAGTCCCGGGTCACTAACTGCCTGCATACAAAATTTCATGGAGATCTTTCCAGTAGTTTTTGCGTGAATCTTTAATACAAAGACAGACAGACAGACAAAAATTCTAAAAACCAGTAACTTGGCTTCAGTATCTTTTATTTAATTTTCCATGGACTTGTTTTTTCCAGGAAATATTAGAATTACAGACATTACAGACATGACTTTTCTACAGATTTATTATATGTATAGATGGGGTATTAGGGTTTTTGGCAAATACTATGAGGCAATCTATAGGGGAGGCTGTTCAGCAGTGGACTTTGAAAGACTGTAAAAGAAAAAAATGACTTTCAATAAGAATTACATTTGATCTATATTGAATAAAAATTATTCCATTCTATTCTATTCTATGAACTCTAAACTATACAACGTATTTATAAGTAAAAAAGTCAGAGGCTTCGATCAACAATACCAACTAGATAACGGGTCACGTACAAAATCATAGCTAAATACTGTCCGCATGAATATAAACTTTGAAAAGACATAAATTAAATAACATTTAGTGTGAAATCAACCTTAAATTGTAATAAATAAAGTTCTTTTTCCCGTTATTGCCTTGCAAGCTACACTCTCACGTGCAAGAGCTCACACGTCTCTGTGCGCTCTTATTTACTGAGATGGATTTCTTGCGCCGCCCCGGCATCTAGTTGGTATTGTTGATCGAAGGTCAGAGGCAAACAAGTCAACTTTCCATTTTTTTTTTATATAAACTTATAGTGACATTTGGAATCCACTTGATGTTAAGTGACTGCTAAAGGTTATATAATATTGCAACCAATTTCAAATAAATAAGGCTGAATTGCCTCATAACCTGTAATACGAGTAATATTGACTCTCTATACCCTGCAGACCGGAAGACCGCAGTACACGCACTCGTATTTGGCAGGAGACCTGGATGGACGACTAAACAGAATAAGTCCCTAGCACATAAAATTCCATACTTAAAATCATACAATTTATAACATTGGCCTTAAATGAGTCTAACTTTACTCATTTTATCGCGTTTAAATTTTAATTCCCGACGTTTCGGAAGCTTTACGGCACCCATTGTCACAGGGGAACTGAAGTGTTTAACATCCCAATATCATTAGCCTGGCTACCTTCAGTTCTTGAATATTAATTTTTAATTAACTTAATATTGAAAAAGCGTCTACAAAGATTAACAATACAAATAACCGAATAATGAACCGGTAACGTTGATTTTTTTTTTTGGTTTTTCACCCAATTTCAGAAAGGAGAAGGTACTCAATTCGACTGTATTTTTTGTTTTTACTTCATAACTTTTTTCCAAGTTAACTAATTTTGATGATTCTTTATATATTTGAAAGCTGGTGCTTTTCGTGTGATCGCATATAAACTGGCCAGTAGTTTTTGAGTTATCCTTAATAATTCGTATAATAACTTCGACTACCTTGATTATGTTCTCAATTCATTTATATTTAAATTGTTAATTTTAACACTTGTATTGGTTAGGTTTGGATTGTAAGTAAAACAGCCGTTTCTCTTTTAATATCATTACCATTTACCATCCTGCACTTTATTTAGCCTAACATACATATGAGTTTAACATTTACCATAATAAAAATAAATACAAAATTTTACAAAATATCAGACGACAATTACTCGTATATTTTTTTTAATAAATAAAGAAGTATATAACTATATATTTTATATTACAATAAGCTTAGTAATTATGTTCTTAAAATTATTATTTTGACAATTTGACGACGAACGCGTCACCACAATTATTAGGTACAAATTAAGATAATAACATTACATTAACATGTCTAAGAACATTACAAGGAAGTGAAACTGGAACAAAAAATGTTTAGTGCTATTTACTGGGAGTGCTAAAGGGTTAAAATAAATTAAGATACTTTTTATAACTATAGTAATTATTTAGTTTACTAGTGAGATTTATATATATTTTCAACATTTTATTTTTAATTTACTCGTAAGACTTATTTAGTTTTTTTTAGTTAAATAAGTACGATTTACTATTTTTTGTCTAAGCGTTCTCATACGCGTGTATGTCTGACTGACTCTACTACTGACCTAGTTGCGAAGGACACCGGATTCTTCGTTTCGGTGTTATGGGCTAGGATCCTGTACGTTATCCTCATGTATTCGCAAAGTAATTCCAAAATCTATTAGTTGTTGCACAATTTATTTTTGATTGCGGTATAATTTTCAAACTAAAATAAATCCCAACATTTATGACGGGCATGGAAATAATCACGATATCTGTTAAATTCTGTTCCCAAAAAAAAAAAACATCGCTAATACTACTCTATTCGTTTTTAAGTTACATATACGCAATCATAAGTACCTAAATAATTTTAATTATTGAGAATAATAGGAACAAACTGCATATATTTACGTAGTAGAGCCATGCAGGGTTATTTTGTAATAACCGACCAACTTGCACAGAAGGTTCAGAATAAGTGATATAGGCAAATGGTGAAGAAAAATTAATTACAAAAAATCTCAAACACTGTCTCTTTTATTTTTTTAAATTCAAAATGCCTGGTAATGTATTATTTTGACTGATTTTACTGCGCACGCACACATCCGTAAGGGTCCATCGGTTGGCTAAAACATTGTTGCGCAAAAATCTCATTCAATTTGGGATAATTTTGAATAAAAGTGAAAGCCTTATTTACTTGTATTTTCAAAAACTGCAATAACAGTATATCACTATTTATATATTTGAACTTAAGTTTAAATTTAGGCTACTCTTTGAAAAATAACCCTGTACGAGTAGTTCCTATATTTATAGCATGACTGGGTCCGCGTGACCGGGGAAAGACCACACTCTCACAGAATACGAGCGTAAAATAGCAGCTTAACCCTGCTGTGTTTTGTATGGTGAGTGTAGAGAACTGAAGACCCCTTTAACTGGAAACGAGGCATTCCAACTTAGTCCTCACGGGTGACAACGCATCTGCATTTTGATTCGTATTCGAGGATAAATGTAGATGTCTATGAGCCACAGCAACTACTTACCATCAGGTGGACGTCGGACATCGCTTATCACCCTTACGCTATAAAAATAAATTCTAATAATTATTTAGACCAGCTAGACTTTTTCAAGAATAGTTGTCGTAATGTGTTAATTAGAGTTTTAAAATATGATAATTTGAGCATTTAAACTGACTTGTACCGAATACTCCTTTACAACCCACGTGTTGCAATAATAAACACACATACACACGCGCGCACACACGCACGCACGCACGCACACGTAAACACACGTACATATATACACACACACGCACGCAATCACTCATGCACACGTACCCACACATGCACACACACACACATTTAGATTTGGGCTCGGAGATATTTTTAATTCTTAACAATTTCAACTTTTTTAACAATTTTATTTCTAAGAAATTATTCAATGAAGTATATAAATAAATAAACTCCTACAGATAAACACATGAATTACATAATACTGACCCTTTATTATTGTAAGTACCATTCTTTACGGTTATTATTTTTTCTGTTTTTATAGTACAACATGATTGCTGCGTAGTTAGCAATGAAATGCTAAATCAAATTGAATATTTTTAATACCATTGTTATGTTGTATGTATTATTTTAACGTTTCATTAAAATAATTTTGTACAAAATTTAGAGAAAAATATACTCTGCGCATTAGCTACAGCAACTAAGCGTTCAGTCCGATTTATTTGTTATTTCCGCTAATTTTCGATCCTCTTCTGGCATATCCTTATCGTCCCAACCCCACACTGGATTCTCCGGGTGGTGGTGATCTTCATGTGAATTCGCCTCTCCTTTACTTAACGGATGGGAGCCGTCACCAGTTCTTGATACCCTTTTACGGATCATGTCTTCAGATACGGTTTTCAAATCGTACGCTAGACCTGAAAATTATCGGAAAAGATATATAATTGAACAAATGACATTGCCAAGTTGGTAGTTTTTACTTAAATTAATAAAAACTAGTGGTTGGCTACCACCCCACTTCATGATAAGTGGTGATGCAGAGAAGAAGAAGCGCACTGACTTACGAAAATCCTTTTTACTTTTGCCTTTAATATTCAAGACCTTGAAGACATCGTAATCGGATAGCTAGACAGATGCTGACAAGCTATTCCACTCCTTTATTGTACGCATTTTTTTAACGTTAACTCAACACTAGGATTTTCTTTGTATCGTGGGGGCAGTTTACATAGATAAATTTCACAAGGACAAACAGACCCGGAACAATTATTTGTAGGATATACAAATACTTGTCCGTGCGGGATTCGAACCCGCGGCCCTTAGCGTTGCAACACATTGCTAACATACTGCGCCAGGTGCCATCATGAACGAAAATGCGAAACGTTTGTTTCAAATGCAACAAAAAGGGTTAAGTATGTATCTTGTAAAAACACCGAAATACTGGCTAATTTGCACCTGTGCTGAAGACTGGTAAGATTGGTTTTAACCATATTGAGTTCTGGGAGTTTTTTGATATAGCCAGATGGTGGTTATTATATAATGTTGTATAATGTGTATTATATGATGTTCTCCCGGCGACAAGCTTCCAGTCCTTATGAGCTTTGAATCCGCTTCTGAATACATGCCTCCGGAGTACTCGAAATATTATATCTCGTAGACTGCCCTGACTCACCGCTCAAGACTTGTGAAATAGGAAAAACAGAGGTGGATTTTATGATATTAAAGAAAATGGCAAAGTCAGTCATAAAATTAGCATTAAGTATTTATTTTTAAATAACAATTTATTATTACATATTTGACGATATTAAGTCAAAGTTAATAAATTTATTTATTGTTGAATCTCGAAAACCGACCATGTTGTGCGAGCCGCGTCTCGATATGTTAGGGTTTCGTTTATATAATGAACAATAAAGTTTTTAAACTATATATTAAATAGGTAAAAATGATAGTTTGTGGTCACGGTATACAAACTACATTATGAACCGATTATTCAGTTAATAGAGTATGTGGTAATAAACATAATAAACTCAAAAATATTCCTAACTAGTTTAGTTAAAAAAGACCATGTAAAAAACAAACATGTACATCAACTCAAAATGACGCTCCACATGCTAGGATAAGAAAAACAACTTCTTACCCGGACTACAACAACAACTTAGATATGCAGATCTGTGACATGTGGAGAGGTGGACGGACTGATAGATAGAAAGCAGAGTGACATTAATAGTGCAGAGAAAAAGAAGTAATGAGCTGGGCAGTTTATCCCGAATTTCTGAGGGGCAGCATAATAGCATAATAGCGAATTAGGCAATTTAAATAATCAGTTATTTAATAATCGACCAAGTGCGAGTCGAACTCGCACGTGAAGGTGAAGGTGAAGGTGAAGTTTTTAGTAGGGGAGCTATTTTAATTTTTAATTTATTTTTATTTTTAATATCTGTTGTTATAGCGGCAACAGAAATACATATTCTGTGAAAATTTCAACTGTCAGGTGGGATACCTATTGGGTACGGACCTCTAAAATAGTAGCAAATAGTTCAACTAATGGTAAATCAGCGTGGTGACACTTGAATACGTTGTCACACTTGGCTAAGTTAGAATACTTCGTTATCAGTAAACATGTTTTCGGTTCCCATCTCGTTTTTTACTTAATAAGCAAGTGCGTGACCACAATCGCACCTGGTTCTAAGTGGCGATGTAGCCTTAGATCGCACTGTCTTAGTGTAACAAAAGCCTATTCACCCTTGCTTTGAAGACGCCCCAATTGTATTAAGACGGAAAAATAGACGCCGGCAAATTATTTCACTCCGTTTTTGCATGCATTACAAAAGAAGAAGTAAACCATTTGGTTTTAATGCATGGAGTATAGACAACAAAGTGATGAAGATCTCTGCACTCACTACGTTTTACGCTAGAATTATGTAAGGGCGTGGTCATTCCCTCATCAAGCTGATTATTCACCATACTAGGTAAAAAAATCAACACACTAGGTAAAATACATCGTATTTTGCCCTTAAACGAGGCCTCACTCGCAGACATAGACTACTCTCTAATCTACCATGGTTAATCACTAAGTCAACCACAGCGCTAGTAGATCGAGCCAATCGGAGAGGACTCGCGCGTCGACAATTTGAGCCGCTCTGCACCGGATACGGCCAAGTGGAAGGAGCTGGCACTGGGGAGCCCCGGCCCAAAGGTGGGATGTGATCAGTATTCCATGTGAGCCTGAACCTGTGCCTTGTAAGGTGGTGTTGTAATGCCAGTGTATAGTTAGTAGTGGTGTTGGGTGTAGTGGCTTTGGGTTTAGTGATGGCAGATGGCTCATGCATTTATAAAAAGGACTCTTCAAACTGGGAATGACTTGCTATTTTATTTTTCATGCGAATATTAGCTAAATTTTACATCTTTAAATAACGAATCCTAAGTCTGTGACTGAATACAAAGTACTGAGACGAATCTAGAAGTGTTTTACTTTACTAACTGTAAAATTAATAAAATATAATAATGTCAGTAGCTTGAAAATATCTCATTTTACTTGAAACAAATAATAAAATAAAATAATTGTAAAGACAAGTTTTAAAAGATATTTTTGAGTTTTTGATGTCGTGGAAATGAATTGTGGTGAATGTTTTTGTTGATTTACAAAATCAAATTAATAAAGCACACGTGATGGTTCCTCCGTAGATATGGGCGATATACAAAGCACTCCGAGATCTATCTATTTGTTTAAATTAAATACGAGGAAATAGCTAAAACTAATATTATAATATTATGTAAGTACAGATTTTACATATAAGGAATAATTTGACCGTTTTGATTTAGCACACCTTATATTCGTTAAGGTTGTAAATTAGATCTGGCAGTCCTGCTTGTGAAACGTTTTCTTATATTCTTTGCAGATAGATAGTGAAGTACTGACAACCCCGGAAATTGCTACTTCATCAATATATTTTCTTGAAAAGCTGTTAATAACTTCATAAACTACATAAAGTATCTTTATAAATAAACCCGTTGCAAGCTTTTAACTACTAATTTTGCTAAATATATTTTTAACTATTTATTTATATTCGCTGTGAATTGTAGCACAAAATACCTAATAGAAAATAAATGCACTTGCCGTGTAGTGCGATAATCTAGTGATCAGATTTTATAGGTCTTTGTGAATTCTACAGCAACTTAATTCATCATCATCGTCATCATTATAGCCCATCACAAGACCTCTGGTGAACGTGGGGCTACCCCAAGGAAAACCATCATGTCGTACCGTACCGTACCGTACCGTACCGTACCGTACCGTACCGTACCGTACCGTACCGTACCGTACCGTACCGTAACAAGCAATATATACTGATAATAGCGATATTGCTTGTTTTAAACAAGATTATATATATCGCTTATGTGGTGCTACATAAAATGGAACTTTTTATTCTATCTTCTGCGGTACCTATCGGAGGCAGAACCCAGCCATGGTTTAGTCGCTCCTAAAAAATTGCATTACGCCACAAGGAAGAGCTACCAGGCCGAGCTCACGCATTGTTGCCAGACGTCTTGAAATGCAAATACCAGCGCTCTTAAAAAGAAGTAGAATTCCGCGTCCAGATCCTTCAAAAGTGTCATTGCCAAGGCAAAGTCAGAGCACATCGGCAGAATTGGCGAGAAACTAGTTCAACTGCCTTCGGGAACACGTGCATTCTGGTTTCTCGCTAAGGCTGTCCAAGAGAACTTCTGTTAGCTATCTCTCCCATCTCTGCAATGGGAGGACGACTCACTGGCCCATGTCGCAAAGGAGAAAGCCGATCTGTTAGGTTCTCTCTTTGCGTCCACCTCGACTCTCGATGGCGGGGGGATGGCCTGATGGCGTCTCTCCTATTGTGCTGAAGACGTGTGCTCCGAAGTTGGCACCGGTTTAAAGGCGTCTTTTCCGGTACTCCTACTCCCTAGACATAGTCCCGAAATCATGGAAGACAGCTTTAGTGCACTGGATCGCGACCGCTCAGATCTGTCTAACAACAGGCCTATCGCTATCACTTCCTTGTTCTCAAAAATAATGGAATCCATTTATAAACTGCCAGCTTATGAGGAATCTTGGGGGTAACCAGCTGATTATTTACCGCCAGTACGGTTTCCGTCAAGTTCGCTCAGCAGGATCTTCTCGGTTACCTAAATCATAAATGGGTGGAGGCAGTAGAGTCCAAGGGGAAGGCTTTGACCGTTGGTTTGGACATAGCGAAGACCTTCGATGGGGTTTGGTACAGAGCGCTTCTTACGAATGGGCTTCCCGAGAAATTGTGCAATTGGATCACCACTTTTCTTGCAGATCGTAGTAGACGGTGAATGCTCTGACTACAAGCATATTAACTCCACAAGGCTATCAAGTGCTATCACCAACGCTGTTTCTTCTGCATATCAATGATATATTGTAAACTGGTAACATTCATTGCTATGTAGACGGCAGCACTGGTGCCGGCGGTACAGCCGTCGTGCCAATATTGCCCGGGAAAACGTCGCTGAGTACCGAGACAAAATTGTGTCTCAAATCGAGAATTGTTGAACAAAGTTTCTGACTGGGGTCGACTAAATCTAGTCCAGTTCCATACCCAAAAGACACAAGTTTGCGTGTTTACCGCTAAAAAGAAACCCTTCGTCGTATCTCCTCAATTACAAGGCCCTCCCCTTGTTGAATAAGCCAATACCGGCGTCGACATATCGAGTGACGAGCTGTTTCGTGGTCACTTGGAAGAGAAGGCCAAATTGGCCTCTAAAAAGCTTGGCGTGCTCAGCTGATCGGAACAGTATTTCATGCCTGCACACCGCCTGTAACTATACAAGGCGCAGGTTCGGCCACACATAAAATACTGTTCCCATCTCTGTGCTGGGTCTCCCCAGTGTCAGCTCCTTCAATTTGATCGCATCAAACGCAGAGCCGTTCGAATCGTCGGGGCAAGCGAACACGAGTACATGGAAGTCTAGTGTATGGCTTGGCAGATAAGATGCAGTAGAATAGGCGTGATTATATTATGAACTCGTAAAGAAAAACCCACTTTATCTTCACAAGCCCAACTTTTATCACGATATCCTTTTGCAGCTTGCATGTATAGACTATTATATATATACGTAATACAACTATTATATAGTTGCCATTTAAGTATGAAGGTATATTTTAAGTTAAAGTTATTTATCTAAGTTAGCAACACTTGATAGCTTTTATTTACTTACCGTACTTTGCGGCCCAGTCAATAAGAGCTGTAGAAATATTTGTGCTATAGTGTCCGAGCTCAGCTGCTTTGTAATCCCAGGGGAACACGTGATGATAGTTGTGCCATCCCTCGCCAAAAGCGCAAATTGCAACGGTTTTGTTATCAGTAGCGCCTATGTATCTGAAATAGCAAATGTTTCTTTATGTTTTATTGTTGTCCAATATGATTGTTGTGGTGTGGTGAGTCAGGCGCAATATCGATGTCAAAAACTTTGCAAAATAAAAATAAAATCAAACTGCGATTACTAACCACCACTACTATTTGCCATTGTTGCCACGCTTGTTAAATTCTGTGGGGGAAGCCTATGTTCGGCAGTGGACTGTTGATGAGAAGTTGAAAATAAAGCAAAGTACCTTAGGGGTTGAAAATAATAATTGAGTATGTGAGCCACCGCTTTCAGTGCCTAGAAGATTGCAATGCAGTGGACGATATGAATGACAAGCTCGTGGAAACTGTCCATGCGGTCCGAGCTAAGTTCTGCAAGACCCGTCGCAGAAGAACACAAAAACTCTCCGATCACACTCTTAATCTCATTGGCTGTTAGACGGGAGATGAGGCTGCAATCGTCAACAGATTTGACAGCATACAGGCAACTGAACAGACAGATCTCCAAATGCATGCGGCGAGACTTACGCAACTTTAGTACTGCTCGTATTAAAGAAGCGATCGAGCGGAACCAGGGCTCCAAAGACTTTGCTAGAGATCTGTCTGCCAGAAAGAGCCAACTGTCAAAGCTGAAGACCGAGTGTGGCAGCATCGTTTCCGAGACACCTGAGATTTTGAGTGAGATTGAGAGGTTCTATGGGCAGCTGTACACATCATCGTTGGAGCCACACGCAAGTGTGAGTAACGATCCAAGAGCAAGTCTTACCCGACACTATTCCGATGATACCCCGGACGTCAGTCTGAGCAAGATTAGAATGGCTCTCCAGCACCTTAAAAACGGCAGGGCCCCAGGCGAGGATGGAATTACAGCGGAGCTTCTGAAAGCGGGTGGAACACCGGTACTTGAAGTCCTTCAGAAGCTCTTCAATTCCGTCCTCCATGGTGGCACTACTCCGGAGGCGTGGAGCAGAAGTGCGGTGGTCTTGTTCTTTAAGAAAGGCGACAACGCTCTCTTGCAGAACTACAGACCGATTTCCCTTCTGAGCCGCGTCTACGTGCTGTTTTCGAGAGTCATTACGAATCGTCTCGCACGCAGACTCGACGACTTCCAGCCTCCCGAACAAGCCGGTTTCCGAAAAGGCTTCAGTACCATAGATCACATATGACATACCCTGCGGCAGATTGTACAGAAGACCGAGGAGTACAACCTGCCACTTTGCCTGGCGTATGTGGACTATGAGAAAGCCTTTGATTCCGCCGAAATTTGGGCGGTTACAGTCCCTTCAGCGGTGCCAAGTTGACTGTCGGTATATCGAAGTGCTGAAGTGTTTGTACAGTAGGGCTACGATGGCTATCCGAGTACAGAACCAGAGTTCGAAGCGTATCCAACTGCAGAGAGGTGTAAGACAGGGTGACGTTATATCCCTGAAACTCTTCACCGCTGCGTTGGAAGACGTTTTCAAGCTATTGTGCTGGAAAGGATACGGTATTAACATCAATGGCGAGTACATCACTCACCTTCGATTTGCCGACGATATAGTCCTTATGGCAACTCGCTGGAGGACCTTAGCACTATGCTCAATGACCTCAATGGCGTCTCCCAACGGATAGGTCTTAAGATGAACATGGACAAAACTAAGATCATGTTTAATGTCCATGTCACACCTATGCCGGTAGTTGTTGGGAGCACTATGCTCGAAGTTGTTGACGAGTACGTTTACCTGGGACAAATAGTCCGACTAGGTAAGTCCAACTTCGACCGAGAGGTCAATCGACGGATTCAACTCGGCTGGGCAGCGTTCGGGAAATTACGACACATCTTCTCGTCAGGTATACCTCAATCTCTGAAAACTAAAGTGTACAAACAGTGCGTGTTGCCAGTGATGACTTACGGATCAGAGACGTGGTCCTTCACCGCTGGCCGTATGAGGACGCTCAAAGTCGCCCAGCGAGCTATGGAGAGGGCTATGCTCGGAGTTTCTCTGCGTGATAGACTCAGAAATGAGGATATCCGCAGTAGAACCAGAGTGACCGACATAGCCGAACGGATTAGTAAGCTGAAGTGGCAATGGGCCGGCCATATAGCTCGAAGAACCGATAACCGATGGGGAAGAAAGGTTCTCGAGTGGCAGCCTCGTACCGCTAGGCGTAGTGTAGGGCGACCCCCCACTAGATGGAGTGACGACCTGGTAAGACATGCAGGAAGTCGATGGATGCAGGTGGCTCAGGACCGTGCTTTGTGGCGTTACTTGGGGGAGGCCTATGTTCAGCAGTGGACTTTTGAAGGGCTGTAATGATGATGATGATGATGATGATGATGTAAGCCACCGTGAATTCATTTCCCGCTGGATATAACTTACTTAGTAAGAAGTTCCTAGGCATTCTACGGGAGAGGCCTGTGTTCAGCAGTGGACTGTGTTAGTTTCTTCTCATCATATTTATTAATAAATACTTCTACATATTTATGTAGAAGTATTTATAAACGTGAATAAACCTATTGTAGTCTTTGAGTTAATAAGGTCAAAAAGAGTCATTTTTATTAGTCATTATAACAGACATATCGATACAAATTAAAAAAGACACAATAACGGGCTTTTTCATCAAAAACCTAAGCCACATAGAGGTTACATAGAAATTTGAAATTTGTTATCATATTATTATGTAGATCAGTCGTATGTAAAAGGAAAAAAAACTAAAAAAACTAAAAATTATCTAATTGATAGAATCGGACGTTACTTTGTGGAAATCCATTATAATAAAGATATTAATAGTTACTTTGCAACCATCCGCTAAATTAAATAAATACTTCGGTCAAACGCCGTAGAGTCAATATCACCTGATGCGAACGAGCACACAGTCCACCTGATGGTAAATTATTGCTGTGGACCATAGACATCTACATCTATCCTCGATTACGAATCAAAATGCATATGCGCTGTCATTCGTGAGGACTAATATAGAATGCCTCGTTTTCAGTAAAAAAGAGTCTCCGGTTCTCTACACTCACCCTACAAAATACAGCAGCGTTAAACTGCTACTTAACGCTGGTATTCTGTGAGAGCATGGTCCTTCCCCGGTCGAGCCGACCCATTCGTACTACAATTATACTGCTAATATAGCATTAAAAATATAAAAACATACTACTATATATACATGACGGCTCCGTGACGCCGTAGCTTAGTAATTTTTGAGGCTGCTGGTTCGAAACCCGCACGGAACATGTATTTGTCTGGCCTACAATAATTGGCCTACAAGTAAACCGAGTCTGGATGTTTGTCCTTGTGAAATTTATGTTTGTAAACTGTCTTCATGATGCAGAAAATCTAGGTGTGGGGGTAAGATTTAAATAAGAATTGAGAAAAATGAGAGAAAGTGCTGCAGCATGGCTCTACCTAATAAAAAATAATAGGACATTAAATAGTTAATCGAATAAGTCACGTATTGCTTATATTTATTTAAAGAAAAAAAATATAGGGAGTAATAAATTACAATAATAATAAGGAAGAAACTAAAGTCATTTTATAGCTCTCTATATAGCCTCTGGCTCTGGTCAAGAAAATAATAGACCCTCTTATACTTGCGGCGATCACCAGTCACAGATTCAGTTCTTTTAGAAACCACTGCGTATAGTCTCTACAAGAAATGACACAAATACATAATCGTAAATCAAAAAAATAATTTTGCGATATTTCCTCAGTTCAAACAAAACCCAAAAATTCAAATATCGCTGCGACCCTAAAAGAGATATTGTGGAAAGAGTTAAAGACCTTAAAAGCTAAACACTTCGTTAAATAACGTGGTAAAGCCTTGCTGCAGCTATATTAATTGTATAGTTGTAGCACTAATGGTTCGGCTCGACCAGGGAAGGACCACGCTCTCACAGAATACCAGCGTCAAATAGCAGCTTAATGCTGCTGTGTTTCGTATGATGAGTGTACAGAACCAGAGATCATTTTAGTGGAAAAGAGGCATTCCATCTTAGTCCTCAAGGCTGACAACGCATCTGCATTTTGATTCGCAAACGAGATGTATATGTCTATGGGCCACGGCAATTACTTACCATCAGGTGGACTGTGTGCTCGCTTGTTACCCATTTCCTATAAAAAATAACAATTAAATAAACATTTTTAATAATGACTAAACTATTTTGAATGGGCTTTTAATTAATTCAACAAATAATTGTTAAAGAAAAGTAAGTGTGGAAAAGAACATAGTGGATACTGTGATTCGTTAACACCTTCATCAACCATCAATTGAGAGTCAAAATGCTGATGCGCTGTAACTTATGAGAACCAAGATGGAATGCGTCGTTAAAAAATATTTAATAATTTTCTTTATTTAATTTTTATTTTACTGAGTACATACATAATTAAATCTTTGATTTTTATATGTTACAGTTAATTCAGAAAACTGTTTACTAATATATTGGTCCTACATGACAGCTTTCAAGCAATATTTGCAAGACTGTACATACAGTGAAATGTTAATAAAGTGATTGTAAAAGCAATTACTTACTTGTCGTATGGCCTGTTGCCCCAAATGTGAGCTGCAGAATTGACGAGCCATGTAAAATGCAGGGTCAACGTGTAGCGGAACATGGCGGCAACGTACCAGGAATGCCATGGGGTTTCCCCCCATACTGCCACTGGTATCCAAGCGGGTAGCAAAAAGCATAGTATTGGCATTACTATAAGATACGTTCTGAAAAAAATTAAACAAAGTATTAGTTATCGTTGTTGTCATGAAATGGTCAAAATATTTATTTTACGCTATGCTTGTACTATGTATACTTATTTTACAATATGTTTGTATATATACTTTTGTAGATCTTTCCCATCATATTTTTTAAGCTAAAAATTTATCTTGATGGAGTTCATAATTAAGTAATACAAGCACAAACACCGTACGGGTCAGTAGAATCTATGGGTGTTCCTCAAGGCTCCATCCTTGGCCTCTTCCTGTTCTTAGTTTATATTAACGAATTACCTGACCTTTTTTATACATAAGAGTGGGCACACTAGCATGTTGCTCACCTGATGATAAGTCACTACCGCCACCCATGATCAAATGCAACACTAAGGGAATCGGAGGTTCGTTGCCGGCTTTTAAAAAAAGGATAGGTTTGGTAGGAAATATGTGGTTTAAATTACTGATGATACTTCTATAATGTATACATCAACGGCAATTGTTAAAATCAATCATTAAAATAATTGTTCCGGGTGTAGATGTTTGTCCTTGTGAAATTTATATATGTAAACCCCCACTATATAGGAGAAAATCCTAGTGTGGAGGTAGTAACTTTTGTAAATATAAGAAAAAAGCATACTGGTTTTACGTCAACAATTTGCTTTTGAATAGTAATATAATTATTAACTTTACAACATCCAATGTTAAACACGTAAAATGTTAAACACTATGTTATAAATGGTAAGTAGCTAAGTCTTGTATGGAATCTTATTTTGACCTACGCCTAAGCATTTTTTATTAAGCCAAAGATGTTTAATATGTATGTATTAAAAGGACTATTGAAGAATACATGATGGTCAAAAATAAGATGATCATTACCATGCTGTTTCTAATTATTTTCATGTAAATTGCAACGAAATATATTGTAAATAAATCTTAAAAAATCCCTCAGGCTTTCTTGTTGGATGCTCGCTGAACTGAGTTTTTTTTACTAAAGCAGTGGTTAAACCATGCTATTCCCCTGGTGTTGCAAACGTTCATGGGCGACGGTGATCACATACCATCAGGTGAGCCACATGCTAATTTGTCTCCTCTTCCATAAAAAATCTATATAGAATAAAATATAATGATATAAAATTATTCTATTCTGCTCTGTTTATTAGCCAGTTCCAGTCATACAAGTACTTGTACAATTAAAAAAAATTATCACAAAGGGTGCACTGCATTTACCTTCACTGTACACATACTTTAGTACCTATAATGTCCTCCCGACCGAATTTTGGCCACGAAGGCCAGCTTCAACGGAGACTAGCCATCGGCGCAGGTCAGGATTATAATGCCCAAGTGTGCAAGCACAGGTACTCTTTCTATTCCCTCACTCTGATAAACCGATGGGACGGTAAACCGACACAAGCGAAGAGAGATCAGGCGCAGGATCAACGGGTTTACGTGCTTTCCGAGACACGGGGCTGAGACACCGCCAACTTCCTGAACTCCGGGCAGCTACTGAGAATATTCTTAATGGAAGAACTCATAAACTTTTTTGCCCGGCCCGGGATTCGAACCCGTACCTCATGATCAGCAGTCGCACTACTACAACCACTAGAAGAACAAGGCAGTCTCAAGTATGCGACGGCAGTGAAGGTGAATGCAGTGCACTACGTCGTTATCAATACATGCAGCAGAAAATGAATAGAAGAACGTGCGCTAAGGCTAAAAGTATTTTACTTACTTCTTTTGAAACATAACGATAGGGTCTTTCTCCAAATCTGACATGTCAACGGAGGCGCCCTTTTCAAATACGTCCTTATGTTTCCTCACCATCAACCAGCCTATGTGCGAGAAGAAAAATCCTCGTTTTGCGTTGTGCGGGTCAGCGTCCGTCTCCGTAAACTTGTGATGTACCCTAATTAGAGATATAGTTAGAATCAGGCATTCATTCATGAATTCATTAGTTCTCTAACTATAAACCTAAAAATGTTACCTATCAAAGTCTACTGTTGAACGTATTCTATAGATTCTCATAGAAGGGCAAGGAAATAGTTGACTTAGTTATTAATATCTAATGAGTACACTGAATAAACTGAAGACAGGTATTTATTGTGTTTTAGGTTTAATAATATTAATATTTGCCTATGTCATTTATAACATAAAAATTATTTTAGCTATGAGATCAACAGAAAAATTATTTTAGCTGTAATGTCAACAGAAAAATGTTTTTAGCTATAAGACCAACAGAAAAATTATTTTAGCTATAAGGTCAACAGAAAAATTATTTTAGCTATAATGTCAACAGAAAAATTATTTTAGCTATAAGGTCAACAGAAAAATTATTTTAGCTATAAGGTCAACAGAAAAATTATTTTAGCTATAAGATCAACAGAAAAATTATTTTAGCTATAAGGTCAACAGAAAAATTATTTTAGCAATAAGATCATTTTTACTTTAAGAATGAAACACAAAACCGGGGTTTGCCATTAATGACATGATCCGCGTACAGCGTGGACGTGGGTCTTTGACACTTCATCCGAGCCTTAAATAATTAAAACTATTAAAACTATGCTTCTAATACTAAGTAGGACGAGTAAACATCACAACAGTGGCACAATTTTTTTTAAAGTTAAGATGACAAACGAGTGTACGTGGGATGTATCCTCGTTTGTCTGATAGTATGTAGATACCGCAACAAATAGACAGTTACATACATATATCATCGATTAATAATCAGAATCCAGATGCGTTATCACCCCTGAAGACTAAGATCGAATATTTCTTTAGCAGTAAAGTTGGTCTCGGGTGTTCATCACCCACCATTCAAAACACAGCGGCATTATGGTGCTATTTCACGCCGGTATGCTCTATAAGCGCGTCCTTATTCGAGGTGAGCCGAGCGTGCTGCAGCCTTAATATTTTTCTGCACCGTGTAAATTGTTAGCGTGATCGAATCCGCAACACTGACGCTACGCTTTAAGTTGAAATGTATTAGGAGTTCTACACCACTCGAATTCGACTCGAACCCATCACGTTTAAGTTTTAATTCCGTAACCATTAAAATCCCATATAAATAACAAGATGGCAAGCAAATTGTACCTGTGGTCCCGCACCCATTCATATATATGGTTCTGGAAGGCCATTGTTTGCAACACTGCTAAAAAGAGTCTCAGGGGCCATTTGGCCTTATATGCTCTGTGTGCCCATAGTCTGTGCGCGCCCGCTGTTACACCCATAGCCGATAATGATGCGAAAAGAACGGCTGAAAATAATACAGATGAAAATTAATTTAAAAAAAAATGGCCAAGTGCGTGACGGCCCTACCTCTATATACACAATGTGGAGGTGGGGTTCCGTAGTTGCCCGTCACACTACGTGTGGTGATTTCTTGATAAAGAGCATATTGAGTTCGAGGTTTGCGTGCTATTACGACTAAAATGGGCCCAAATAGGACGTTGGTAACAGAAGGACTTATTTTCCAATCAGACTTATAGGGAGTGGTATTAAAAAAAGATTTAAAAAAACTTTTCGACGTTGAAAATAATACAATCTATATCAAATCATACATGCCAAGTCCGTATAAACATGACCATAGTTGACTATTTTACTATGTGTATATATTTTATCAGCAGTGTAACTTTAAGGTATATGTTATGGTGTTACAAACTTTCACGTAAACCACAACTGTCCTGAGGGTCGCCCACGTAAACCAAAGGGTACCACGAAAAGGTGATAAACGAGCACACATCTATCCTCGATTACGAATAAAAATGCAGATGCGTTGTCACCCGTGAGGACTAAGATGGGAGGCCCCGTTTCCAGTAAAAAGGGTCTCCGATTCTCTACACTCACCATACAAAACACAGCAGCGCAGCGTTAAACTGTTATTGAACGCTAGTATTTAGTGAGAGCGTGGTCCTCCCCAGTCGAGTCGACCCATTCGTGCTACAACTATACTACTAATATAGTTATATTAGTAGCATAGTTTTACCACGTTATTACTATATACACACACTATACTACAGCATGGTTCTACCACGTATAATTGGCTTAAAATACCTATTATATATATATATATATATATATATATATATATATATATACATATATATTACTACCAAGGAATATACTAGGGTTGAATTTGAATGACAGGGTGAGGAATTGCGTGATAAGAGATAAATGTGGTATGCAAGATGATGTTGTGACCAGGATTATGAAAGGAATGCTTCGGTGGTTTGGTCATAAGAAGAGAAGAAAGAGTGACAAAGCAAATTTATATGGCAGATGTGAACGGCCGAGTCGGGAAGGGACGCCCTAGAAAAAAGTTTATCGACCAAATTGGCGATATTTTGAAAATGGGCCACGCTAGAAGTACCCTTACCCTTAACCGACGAGCATGTTTTCGTAGATATATGGATGTAAAGGAGGCGAAAGAGGTATGTCAGGATCGTGCCAAATGGAAGTCCGTAGTCTCTGCCTACCCCTCTGGGTGACAGGCGTGAGTGTTTATATATATATATATATATATATATATATATATTTTTATATATTACTTCCAACTGAAATATAAGCGAAAGTAGTTAGTAAGTAGTAAAGGTCTTCCCTGCCTATCCCGAAAAGAAAAAAGTAAAGTTATAGTAGTAATACATATAAGTCGTTTCCTTCATAAAATATTTCTTTCGTACGGTTTACATTACAAAGTTATAATGCAGCAAGTTTTAAGTCATTTTCTATAGAGTCTTAACTAAATTTTTACTAATCCAAGTGCATTTTTAAGTTGGTCGACTATTTCTCGTTAACTTTTTAATTCTACTTAGCTCTGGTATTTTTTCTTTTAGCTTCATTACATATACTACTATTGTGCATACTTTTACATTTCCAAAAGCAGCGGTTTAGTTGGTAGAGGGGGGGGGACACATGACTCTAATGAAAAATACCATTTTAAAGTTAACTATTTTGCAAACGCACCCCTGAATCAAAAAATGTTGTTGCAAACCCCAATGTTTTAAATGATATGAGGTACCCAAAATAAAAATGTTTTTTAAGATTTTATTTCCTAGTTTTGTACGCACGAATATCTATAACTATATTAAATTACAGTTTTGTAGCGTCTATGGTCTTTGAGTAAAACCGCGGACGGATGGACGTACGGACATAGCGAAACTATAAGGGTCCTTATTTAACTAAGGAACCCTAAATATACGTGGACATCACTCACTTAAAATCAATAATTGACTTAACTCCTTTATTATATATTTCTTCAAAAGTTCAACATAATCCATAATAAAGCTGGTGGTGACATTCAATTTAATTGTACGTAAAGGCAACGTTACTCAGCCAGACCAAATTGCGGTTGCTAATATATATAGCAAAAATACAATTTCCACAACCTTTTGCAAAGGACTTTTTCAGCGCTAATCAGTAATTCTACGTATATTAGTGAGGTTTTCAGTCTTAAGACATCTTTAAACTATAACTTTCCTATGTTATCGTAAAAAGAGGACATATTGTTAATATGATAAAATTATTTTATGATTTATTTATTAACTTGGCTCCTCTGTCGTACATACCAAAGATAAGATACGAGTATATTAAGTATAATGATGTCTTCCAGACTGAATTTCGGTCACGGCGGCCAGCCTCAGCGTAGGCTAGCCATCGGTGCAAGACAGGATTATAGTGCCCAAGTGTATGATCAAGCACAGGTGCACTCTCTATACCTTCACTCTCATAGTCGAAAGGAACGGTAAATCTGCACGACCGAAGAGAGATCAAGCGCAGGATCGACGGCTTTACGTGCTTCTTTTCCTCGTCTTCAGGGACGAGGGTGAGATACCACTAACTTCCTAAATGCAGCCAGTTACTGAGAATCTCATGTTCAGCAGTAGAGTTTACAACCACTAGCTCAACTAGGCAGCCATGTAGGCAGTATTAAATATATGAATTATTTCATAACACGTCATAAGTTGCACTTGTGACTGCTGAATTATCTTGTACTTGACGGTAAAAGAAGAACACATTGAGTGTATGAGGAATAAAACATATTGCGGCTATGTCAAATCCGTAAAATAGTAATGGAGCAGGGCGGTTCTATATCGTGCTCCGTACATAAACCACTTAGAAATTAGAATAAGCCTGTGTTCTACATACGTACATACCCTTACTTATGTAAACTTTTAATATTGGGTTACTATACTAAGACATATTTACGTTCTTTTGGTATCTATTTTTTTTTTTGAATAGGTTGACAAGCGAGCACAGAGTCCACCTGATGGTAAGTGGTTGCTGTGGCCCATAGACATCTACATATATCCTCGTTTGCGAATCAAAATGAAGATGCGTTGTCAGCCTTGAGGACTAAGATGGAATGCCTCTTTTCCAGTAAAAAGGGTCTCTGGTTCTCTACACTCACCATACGAAACACAGCAGCATTAAGCTGCTATTTGACGCTGGTATTCTGTGAGAGCGTGGTCCTTCCCCGGTCGAGCCGACCCATTCGTGCTACAACTATATAATTAATATTGCTGCAGCATGGCTCTACCACGTGAATAATAATATTGGCTCTTGAAATCTCGCTCAAATTTTGAAAAAGACGAAGATATGTGCATATTACAAATATTTATTTTGCACGATTTATATGTAAACAAGAAAACCTGTTTAGAAACTCCTAAAATTTAATATACTTAGGTAGGTAATATCATAAGGGTTTACAGAGTGTCTTATAATGTTCATATACTCTGTACTTTTAAAGTCAATGACACATTCATTGAAGTTACACAATATCGAAGATTCTAAATTTTACCCAATAGATGTAAATATAGCACCAAAAATTACAAAGATGTACCAAGTTTACTCACCGAATAGCAGCGTCCATATTTTCGATTTCAAGGTAATTATGAGGTAAACGCCGTACAATGATGCGACGTGCAAATAAATGAAAGCCAAGACGTTTCTCCATACTATTTGCCATCTGAAAATAAACAAATACTTAGTACAGGCATACGATTAGTAACATAGTTGCATTTGTCACTAACACATATATTTACGTAAACTATTTCAAAATTGTTTTGTATACTTAGTATTTTAATGCAATATCAATTTATAGTATTTTAAATGAAATTGTTTGCTATGTTTGCCGTTCAACAAGCAATTAAAATTAGTACTTATGTGCAAAGAGAATACAGTAACTATTTTTGACGTAAAAGTAGAAAAGTATCTTTAATCTTACACTAGACCTAGAAAATTCAATGTAAAATAAAGATATTTTTTAATATTATAATGGTACATATAACTTTTATATTACTTCTCATCAGAAATAGTATCTTTGATTAATTGTGTTTTGATACCATATCTATATTTTAAAAATTTAAGTTTTACTAGGATAACATTTCAAACTGAGAGCGGACTTTAGGAAACCGCTGAAGAATCTTAAGGCCTCATTTATGGCCTGGACCAGACCGTCAACGGAAAGTAGCATCATTGATCATCAATGAGACGTCTGGTATCGATGGCCTATTCGCCTTAGATAGCAATAGCGAAATTGCCTCCAATAATGAAAGAAGTTCAAGCCTAACAATGCACTAGTCACGGACTGATGAAGATGAAAAAGGCTATTAGATTGTTCTTAAACACCTTTCTTTGAGACTTTCAAAAAAAATATCTAAACATGATGATACGTATTATTAATAATAGCTATTGGCGGTAAAATATATAAAATTTGACCTTCACAAAGTTCAAAAACTTTATTAAACTAAGTTTTTATAAAAAGAGTTATTATATTGATTAAAACTACTTTTACGGATTTTATCGCGTTTTATTTATTTTATTTTTAATACCCGACGTTTCGGGTGCTTTCCAGCACCCATGGTCACGGGGGACCATAACCATGGTCATGGTCATGGGTGCTGGAAAGCACCCGAAACGTCGGGTATTAAAAATAAAATAAATAAAACTCGATAAAATCCGTAAAAGTAGTTTTAATCAATGTACAGTGTTCGCGTAAATATAAGAAATCATTAAGAGTTATTATAATTTATTTTTTCAATAAAAATATTAGTAATCTTATTAACTAAAATTACTTATAGTCCTTTTAACCACTCCTGGTAAGCTTGAAAAGCTTGTGTTAGGAATGGTTCACGACAGTAGTCAAATGGCGGATTCGAACCCACGACCTTTTGAGCTCGCGATCCGCGCCCTGCCATTAAGCTACTGTAGGTTAAGGAATTTATGGATAGTAATAACCGCTGGGAAGGGTGACCGCTACCAAGTTATTTCTAAATTTTTAAGAGTTGTTAATTGTAATTTAATTGTAAACCCTGTCAGAAATGAGAGGAGGCCTGTGCCGAGGAGTAGGACGTATATAGGCTAAACTTTGTTAATTGTAACATACATGATTATACATAAGCTGTTGTGTCCCAGGTCAGAGGTTTTCTTCCGAACTAGTAGTAAATTATAAAAGTGACTTTCAATAAGTATTATTTATAATCCATATTGAATTAAAATTTTGTGTTTCTGTGTCTGTTTCTTGATTTAAAAAATATATCTAACTAGCTGGTACCCCGGGCGTTGCTGCCGCAGAAAAAACATTCGTGGAAACATCGTTTTATATTTGGAAGAGTTATATTGTTTCAATAGGAATGATAATACGTTAATTGAAATCGAATGATATATAACTTTCAAATAAATTTGTCGGTACGAAACGCACGCCGCCCACTGTAATTTTATTGTATTGCGTATAACCTTCACGCAAGTGTCGGCAATAAGTCGACAATTTTTTTTATATATATTTTTAGAGGACTAAGATGGAATGCCTCGTTTCCAGTAAAAAAGGGTCTCGCCGGTATTCGGTGACAGCGTGGTCCTTCCCCGGTCGAGCCGACCCATTCGTGTCAACTATACTACTAATATAACTGCAGCATGGCTTTACCACGTATAATTACCGCAATCTGATGAACTATATGACAGTGCATAAAATACGAATAAACAAAAATTGTTTTTTAAATATTACCTAACCAAAAATAATATTTTAATACCTGAACCTACTATAAGTATCGTACCGTTAAATTTGTGAATTAATAATGCCAAGTATGGTTATGGAAATGAGGATATCCGCAGTAGAACCAGAGTAATCGACATAGCTACCCGGATTAGTAAACTGCAGTGGCAATGGGTCGGCCATATAGTACCGACAACCGATGGGGAAGAAAGGTACTCGAGTGGTAACCTCGTACCGGTAAGCGAAGTGTAGGGCGACCACCTACTGAATGTGACGACCTACTAAGTTATGCAGGAAGTCGATACATGCAGGTGGCTCAGGACTGTGTTTTGTGGCGTTTCTTCTGAGAGGATCATGTACCGCAGTGGACTTGTGAAGGGCGGTTATGTTATGATGATGATGGGTATAGTAGGGTTTAATTGCTTAATAATTATTTATTAATTGTTTGCCGAAAGGCACTTGTAAAAGGTCCTTAGCTATAAAATATGGCAGCTTAAATATTTCTTGTAAAAAATATTTTACTTACTCGTAATCTCTCCTTTTCGTGTATGTCTGGTACGTTTTAGCATCTCTGTCGATATTTTTTCCATTCATTGTGCTTGGTCGTTGAAACGATGTCATTGTCCAAGTGCAGTAGGTATTAAGGCTGTGAAAGATAAAAACCTTCAATTTTTTCAAACGATGTCACATATTCATTATGAATGTACTGGTGATTTTTTTACTGTCTGGGAAAATATAGGATGTAACAGGTGAATGGAATAGAAGCCTATTGGCACTGATATTTTACATTTTTTTATTTTACATTAACATATTATGAAATTGATCTATGAATAAATACTACTAATTGGGTATATGTATTATTTTAATTTCGATAGTTTTTAATTGAAATATTTACTATGTTCCAAAATTGTGATGTCTCTTTTTCGTACAGAAAGTTAATTTCAAATTAGTAGTATTTATCGATAGATCAATTTCATAATACGTTAATTAAAAATAAAATAAAAATGTAAAATATCTGTGCCATAGACGGTAAAAAAATCATTTTCAAATATTTTCTGGAAAAAACAAATTTGTGTGTAGGTAGTTAGGAACCCTAGGCTACTTATAGGTAGTGTTGCCCAAATGCAAGACCAAGACCAAGACTGAGCCAGTCTTGGTCTTGGTCTTGCGCCAATACACCTGGTCTTGTTCTTGGTCTTGGTATTGCGCTCTCAGTCTTGTTCTTGTCTTAGTCAGCAAGAATCTCGCAAGTCTCGCAATTACCTATTAGCCTATTGTTATTTATTAAACGTTACTTTAGATCTTAGAACAACTTAACAGAGTTGGCACATTTTGAGCTTGAATTAACATAGCCATAGAAAGACCAACCAAATTAATAAATGTCTAAACATTTAATGAGAAATTCGAAAAATCAACTAATACCGGGTGGGGTTTGAACCCACGACCTAAGCAATCCGTGCCGATGCTCTAACCAACTGAGCTGTCTACCAAGTCTCACGGCCACGGGAGTTAGTCTGTTTCTTAATAAACGTTTACATTTAATAAGCTTACATGTGCTAAAACTTAGTCAAAACATTAAAACAAATTAATGACATTAATTTGACTGTATTATAAAGAACATTATCTGTCTAGAAAGAGATTGATAGACTCTTATATGAAATGGAATAAAAGAGTTATACAATTTACCATTTATTTAAATAAAAAAATAAAATACAATACAAATTAAATTACATAACAGTACACAACAGCTTTGACATTACTGTTACTTTATATTAATTCTTTTGACCAAGAATTAATACAAAGTAACCATCTGGCTGACTCATCACTTAACCTATTTCTATGTTTTCTAATTACTAATGATGCTTTAGAAAATAATCTCTAAGCAGGTACTGCAGTTGCAGGTATTGAAAGAAAATCACGGGGCATCTTCGATAAAGTCTGATATTCTTATGCGCCCTCCACCACTCTAAAATGTCTTCCGAACTGGCGGCTCTGGGTTTACTTAGGTACTCCTCCAACTCGTCTATAACTAAGCCTTGATGAAAAGATCCAGCTCCAGATGACGTCGAGGGACATGCATACAATTTCTCAAAGTCTATTACGTCTTCATCTTCATCATATTCACATACTTTCTTTTCATTTCTTGGTGATTCTAGAGATGTAGGTATTCACTGAGTGTAGACTTTTATATTCTTTATAAAGTTCATTAAATTTGCGCAGGCTTTCGGTTTTAATTTGCTTCCCCCATAATGTCATGTCAAAAGTCTGAGTCTTATGCCTTGGGTCTAAAATTAAAGAGGTACAATAAATCCAGTTGCTCAAAAAGAGCTATAAAAATAATGTTTAAGCATTTTGTCTCGAGCTGCTTGAAAACCCAGAATGAGCCTTTCATCCACTTCGGATCGATTAGGTTTCCCATCTAATTGTTTTACCATGGATTCAATTTTATCGACCAAGAGACTGAATGATACAATGACTAGCGGTAATGTAACATATTTTTCTCCACCAAGTTTCGTTGATAGAAATTTAAAGTTTATTAGAAACTTATGTATTTTTTCGAGTATTTGCCATTCACTATCTGTGATTTGAAAATCATTCAATTCGGTGACAGAAGTGCACAATATGTTAATGCCAGTTCTCACTTTTAAACCAAATCCAATCATGTCATGTGTGGAATTCCATCTCGTTTCACAGTCGAGTATGGGGTTCAGATTTGATGGCACGCCAGCTGCTTCACAAGCAGACTGAAACTTCCTCTTCAATATCTCACTTCTTTTTATTTTACTGGAAATACTGCGTAATTTTGTTATAGCTGTACGTGAGTTAGCAATATTTGGCGCATATTCTTCATCTTCCTCAGTTTCGTCTTCATTATCTTCATACTGCTGTTCTTGTCCCTTATTGTCAGTTTCACTGTGTAATGCTAAGGTCTTTAATAAATCTTGTACACCAAGGTTCAAAATGTGAACAAAGCACCGGAAATGTTGATTGTCTGAATCAAAGTGTGGCAGCTGTTTGTCCAATTCATACATAAATTTGGTATTTGCAGTTGCGTTGTCGGCCGTGATACCCTGTATTTTATCAATTATGTCATATACCAATAAACATTCGTGGAAAATCGTTGCAATATCTTCCCCAGTATGTCGACCGCGTGATGGTATAAAATCAAGGACTACAGATCGATACCTTCATTCGTTGTCTATATAATGAATAGTGACCCCGTAGTAACTCCTACCAGCAATTGACGTCCATCCATCAATGGTAAATGACATTTTAGATGAAAATTGTTGTAGTCGTTTCTTAAGATTCAATTGAAGCTCTTCAAACCGTTCTTTGACCTTCCTTCTAAGTGTGGACTTTTTAGGAAACACCATATTTGGGCAAATTGATCGAAAATATACTTGTGTAGCTTCGTCCTCGAAAAATGAGAAGGGAAGATATTTTTTAACCATCCAATCAACTGTAGCTGTCGTGATGTTGTCACTGCTATTTTCAGACTGAAATAAAACAGTAAATCATGTGTTCCGCCGATTATAAAAACAAATGAAAATATGAGTGAATTATAAATACATATTTAACACTATAATCTATATATATATATATATAACTACCACTCACTGACTGACTATAACGATATCTCAGGAACTATAAAACATACAAACTTGAAGTTTGTAAGGTAGGTTTCTTTTATGGCATAGAGATCAGTTAAGAAACGGTTTTGAGAAAATCTATCCCTAAGGGAGTGAAATGGGAGTTGGAAGTTTGTATGAAAGTCCTACGTTTTTGAAGTTAGAGACACGAAAATCGGCATTAAAGTTATAAGTTTTCAATAATAAAATCCTGAATAAGCTGTTTTACGAAATCTTTACCCTAAGGGGGTGAAATTGGGGTAAAGTTACATGCAAGTCCTATATTATTAAAGTGTAGATATGAAAATCGACTTTTACTTTATTAGTTTTAAATAATAAATACTTGCATAGTTAAGCTTTACCTATATAGCCTCTTTATACTTAGGTAAGACTTTAGCGGCGAGAAAATTTCAAAATCTCATTAGGAAATCAGATATTGTACGCGGACGAAGTCGCAGGCGGCCACTAGTTACATAATATATGTGTTATGTAATTGTGTCATAAGTATATTTTTTCTTACCTGTCCACTTTTTCCGGTGGTTATTAAAAAGCTTGTGATATCTCCACTTAATTTTGGTTTTTCAGGAAGAAATATTTGTGATTCCTTTTTGTGGAAAGATATTAGATGCTTCCTTAAGCTTGAAGTTTTTCTGTTTTTCATTTTTATTTCAACCTTTTTATGTTGGCATAATTTACACAAAGCAATTTGGGATGCATGAATTATGTCGAAAAACTCATCAAATTTACTTTTAGGTCTTTTAGATCTATAACTCCAACTCTCACTACTCCGACTAGAACTATTCGACTCTTCGTCTCTCATGTCAAATTGTAAACGTATCACTTCGAGAACAACAAGGATTAGAGTAAAAATAATTAATACATTAGACTCGAAGCAAAGCTCAATTGGGAATGACTGGAATTAAAATAAATACTACTATTTGTAAGTACACGCGGAAAGACCGACAAAGGAAAGTTCGGCATCCTTTGATAAAATTAATGATTCTTCAGAAGATTAATAAAGTAGATGCGTTGCCAGATAGGTATAGTGTGCCTACGCAAAAATGAAATGTAAATATGTAAATAAAATTGTGTATATTATGTTCTTCTTGTGATTGAATTAATCTACGTTAATTAAATTAAATTTGCCTTCACTCGTTTGAAATTCAAAATTCAAATATGTTTCATTCAAGTAGGCATTAAAAATACCCTTTTGAATAGTCATATAATCACTGTTTTCTCCATTTTTTTCTTTTCCATATCCAGGGGTTCTGATTCTACCGAGAAGAATCATGGAAGAAAGTAAGAAACTCAGTAGTTGCTCTTTTCAAAATATTTTTACAATAGTTCTATAATTATGTAAAGCGATAAGTCAAACATAAAATGTCAAATGTATATGTAGATACCAAATCGGTTTAGAAATTTCTAGTTAGTCCTGTGTAGTACGAGAGATCAGTTCCAAGCATTTTTGTCTGACTTAAATTGAAAAGGTGAAAGATCTAACATTTTTTCATCATTCATTATCTTTTGAATCTTATTATAAAAGCGTATATCGCTACCCAAGAACGCATTATATACTTTGTGTAACCGGAAAGCAGGTATTGTGATTTTATTTTTATTTACTATTAAAATTGTGCAAATCACTATTATTTACATCAGTTCGATGCAATCAATTTCTTTAAACGGTTCTCTAAGAGATACTCGGGCTCCTAAAAAGTACATAGATCTTATTTTACGCTTTTTATTTAATATGCACACTTTTTATATTATCGAATAATGTAGCATATAGCATTGTACAAAATGTTTACACGTTTCAAGTGTGTTAAAAGTGTCTACAATATTTATCAAATGGGTGACGACATATTCGAATGCTTTGTGTTCAAAAACACACACTTCCAAAAATCGAGATTTGCAGTGAACTTATTGAACATGTTTATCTATTAGGTAATAATAATAATAGTAAGTAATTATTATAAACCCATATAGTTAATATTATAATAATTACTTACTAGAATAAATT